CGGACCAAATTTTTAAGCCAGGGTGTTACATAAATATCTAGCTAGACTCTGCATATGGTATGTTTAGTAATTAATTTCATTATAAAATTTGAAAATAAATATTTAATAAAAGTTTTCAGAAGTACAATTTAAAAATATTATAAATAAAATTGAGTTTAAACTAAAAAATAAAATGTAACAAAGGGCATAGAGTTAAAGAAATTAAATAGTTTAAAAAAAATTTATAAAATAAAATATAATATTAAAAAAATTCAAAGTTCATTAAATTAAAAAATTAAGAAACAAAAATAATTTTTTTAAAAAAATAAATAATTAAAATAGTACACAAAATTGAAGGGAAAAACTAAAATTAACTTTATAGAATCAGAAAACTAAAAAACATAAAACAAAATGTAAATTAAAAAATTGAAAATTAAATTGTGAAATAATGTAACAAAAATTTTAAAAAATTAGGAAAGTTTTTAAAAAATGTAAAACCATCTTATTACAGAATGGGAAAAGAAACCCTAAAAATCCTAAATAATTATAATTATAATCTTTTGTAGGAGCAATGAGCTATTTGTTAATTTAAGTTTGTTACAATATTCAATAAAAGGAGACTGTTGTACAGAAATCCAAGTGTGTGCAACAAAAACAAAACATGAATTGGTAATGCAGCCACCTAAATTTTCAATTATTCCTTAACAGCCATTAATTTCACAAACATAGTTTTATAAATTTAAAATTAAATATAAGATTTAAACACAATTGTTTTTTAATTATTAGTAAATAAATATTTTTAATATAAGTTAGCTAGTGATCTAATATTCCTTCATAAAACGATCCATAGTTTTTTTATTTTTTTGAATTTCTTAATTTTGACAGATTCTCTCTGCTTTTTCGAGCCTAGTCCAGGTTATGGTCCCATTGGGTTACAAATCCTTGAGCACTTGGGAGTGACAAAAAAATATTCTGATGCTTACACTAATCAATTAGAATAATAATAATAATAATAATAATATATCACGTGCGTGTTTATGGAACCCACCCACCTAGCTAAAACATCATTTCAGGATTGTCACAACTTACGTTAATTATTTTTTATGTATACTAAAACAATATATTAGATTAATTAATCTCATGGTCATCAGATTATTAAGTTAATGAGATATCCCATTATATACACTAAAAATTACTACAAACCATCATCGCATACATTATCAAACAATATTAATTTAAGCAGCTAGCTTTTATATAGATACATAGTGATAATCAATTTAACAAACAAGAATCCTGGATTCGATTTGTCTTATAATACATGTGCAAGATACAATTAGAACGTTTTTCATACGTAATTCAGAGAGGAACAGAAGCCAAATGATCTCACATCATCATGACCAACATAGGTATGCATCACATATATATATATATATATATATGTATACATGCATTTTAGAAGACGAATTTTATCTGTGATATATATATATATATATATATATATAATATAAGAAAAATGAAAAAGTGATGCTATCAATTGATGGGAATGTCGTCAATATTTAAAGGTATATATAATATATAATAAGATGAAAATTAGAATAAAAAATTAGAGGCATCTTATAAAAGAAGGCTTAAAAGCCATCACATTGACTAATCAAGATACATTGGATGAGGCAGAATTTTGGCCACATGTAGTATCGAACCTTCTCATTGGGTAAAACTCACGTGTGAGCATTTCTCATTCGGCACGTGTCATAATTTCTCCAGCTCCCCGTATATAACCACCAACTAACTCCAACCACATGAGCCATGCAAACCACCTAGTTAACTCACATACACACACCATGGCAGAAGATAGTCGTGCTGTAAACTTCAAAGAAGGAGCAGACCAGGTCCGGTACCGCGGAGTGAGAAGGCGTCCGTGGGGGAAGTTTGCGGCGGAGATACGTGACTCGACGAGGCACGGAGCACGCGTCTGGTTAGGGACATTCAGCACGGCAGAGGAGGCGGCTCGAGCTTATGATAGAGCCGCATATACCATGAGAGGTCATTTAGCAATTCTCAATTTTCCAGAGGAGTATCCAATGGGTGTTTCTTCTTCTTCTTCTTCATCTACTTATGCTTCTTCTTCTTCTTCTTCTTCTTCTTCTTCTTCTTTTTCTTCTTCCTCCTCCTCACGGCGTGGCAATGTGGAGCAGAGTGGGAAGCAGGTGTTTGAGTTTGAGTACTTTGATGACAACTTACTGGAGGAACTTCTTGATTGTGAAGAGAATAAGAACAAAAAGTGAAGAGTGCGATCATCACATCACATATAGGCCAAAGAGTCTATTAATACTTAAGCCCATGTTATCTCTTTTATATTTTGACACCTTTTAGCAGAAAACATCTCATCATCCTTTACACATTTGTGTCTACTAATAGTTAGAACATAAATAATTTATTAGCCTTTTCTGTCTATCAAGTTTTCGAGAGAATCCGTTTCAATAATTACTTAAAAGTTGAAAAACTATTGTACACCTAGTTAATCATTTCCGCCATTTATTACTATTCACTTCTCTTCCTATTTATCTCAAGTAATATGCAATGGAGCTTAATTACTCTGCTTTTTTCCCAATTATAGCAATCATGTATAGTGTCTGTGTGTGTGTATATATATATATAATATATTCAAGAAGAATATTGTAATTAATGATTAGGGTGTGTACGTAGACATATATCTTACATATTATAACCAACTACTTTTCTTTTTCTTTTTGCGGTGATAGGGAAGTTAAACAATTATATAATATAGGGAATTCTTAGTAAAGAAATTAAAAAAAAAAAAAGCCCACGTACCTGCAGCCATTTGCATTATTCTATATCGCAAAAGCCAACTATTGGCAATTATCATATATGCTTCCAACGGTTATATATATCATTATCACTACTGTTTCCGCGGATTCAGGTAATATTAATTAATACATGTCTTTATCTGTGCAATCAGCTTCTCGATCCTAAAGAGAGAGATTCATGAACTTGAGGCAAAATAGTCAGGAGAAAACTAAATATGTAATAATGGTATATTTATTATATTGAAGCGGATCCGTTTACAATTTTCTTTTGTCCTGACATGCAGACAAATGTCTTTCTGGGAGTGTGCAGTATACACACACACACACACACACACACACACACACACATATATATATATATCTTTGTATATATGCATATGTTGTTAGTCGGAGTAGCTGAGGTACTACTAGGAGATTTATATATAGATATAAAGGCTTAAAGCCTTGTTTTTCCTGAGCCGCCAAACTTCTTCAACTATATCAAGAATGCGACATTTGTACAATTTGCACCCAAGAGAACGAGGCAATTTCTGCACCTTTAACATTTAATAAAAGAAATTAAAAATTCGAGCAGCTTCTCCTTCTTGCATGACTCCGTGCTAATATGCCGTCATGGCATTCATGATAAAGAAGAAGCTTGGCTTCTTAAAGGTGTTAGCTCAATATTTAAGTGCACATTGTGCGAGTAAAGGACTCTAATGAGGCAGAGTTGTTTGCCATTTATGAAGCCATATATATGTAATGAATCTTCAAACTTCAGCGCGTTCAATGTTATTTTGTTCGAGTTTTTTAAAAATAACTTGGAAATGCAGATTACATTTTATGTTGTTACAGAATTAGATTGGTGATAATACATTTTGATTTTCATTTCTTAAATTGATTTCTTTTTGCACCTAATTTTATTCAGATTTACAAAATAATGCATGAAGCTATATATGTCACTATAACAAGATAGACTATGTATATGTTAGTATGTATGTATGTATGTATATATATATTTTACATATTGTTTGTTTATATTGAGTTATTTATATTACAATCACTACGTTGGCCAAATTGAAACTCGAAATGTCTAAGATTCAGATGACTAAGACTCAAAATGTCTAAGATTCCTATTTTATATACATGGAATTATTTATGTTAAATTCAATCTAACATACATATATGTACATATGTATGAGGGTGATTGGAAGCACACTAGATACCATGTCCATGAATTATTGTTTCAGTCATCCACAAAATTCAATCTTTTCAATTTTATATGGCTGAGCTTAATGTTTGACCTTTTCAATGTCGCCGTGCCAAAAAAGTTGGAATTGTTTATCTACCAATATTCTCTTTTAAAGAAAAAGGTAAAATACATTTTATGGAATAATATTATACAAGTAGCCATATATCATAAATATATCACGAAGGTTTCTAGCTAATGAATAACCATAAGGGAACAAGCATAGACATAAAAGACCATAAATTAATTTTAATTAAATTAGTATTGTAAACATAATAAAATTAATTTTAATTAATATTATATTGAGTCTAATATACTGATTAGCAGATGTTAAATATATTTTTTTTTTAGAAAAAAAAAAATGATTCTCGACTGAAACTTGGGTGAGGGTTTTAATAATTGAATTGAGTTGCTATACTTGTTTGAAACATAAAAATCATATGGTAATATTTTCTCAAACTAATAAACATGTAAGTTTTAATTAAACCCAAAACTTAAAGGAATTCTTTGCAATATATCCCTTTTTTTAACTTTTCAAAATATATTTTCTTATTTTATTTTTATTTTTATGATTTCTATAGATTGTGTTAAGTTTTGTGATATTATTTTTCTTATTACTAAAGATATTATCTCTTAGAAGTCTTATATGAAAGAAGAAATGATTTTAAAATAAACATTACCCGGAATTATCTTGATTTTAGGATGACATGATGGTTGGTAGTTATTGTAAATTTTTAGCTTCTATAATATATAGAGACTAAACACACTTTTCTTGATAATATTGTCATTGGAGAAAAATTATGAAATGCAACTAGAAAAATTAAATAAATTTTTACAAAAGACATAAAATTTCAATTACATATTTATTAGAAATGTTTATGGTGAATTGTACTCTCTTTAGATGTAGAATAAAGTATCTTGCCAGATTTAAAAAGCTTTTAGATTAGTATGATTTGTTAACCTCTAACTTTTTGTCTCCATATCTCTTAAAACAAAATGAATTAGAACATGATGTTGGTATCATTAAAGGACTTACTTAAAATACCATCAAATTTATCCGAAAATTATTTTAAAAGATGGCAAGAAACATGCTTTTTTCAGCCACAAATTCAGTTGAAAGTCATGCATGAAACTATAACATGATAATTTTAAGACAAGTTTTCTATTACCATACACCTGCATTTGCCACAATTTTAGTATAAGAGCATTCTTAATGAGAGGTTATATTTATTGGTATCAATGAAAACGAAACCATGACAAGTTATCAAAAATGAGTTGAAAGAGGCTCTTATGAGTACAAGTTGTAGCTAGATATAAGTATAAAATAGTATAATGACAATCCTCCGATGAGAGATCCAATAAAACGTACAAAGAGTTTTATACAAGTAACATGAAAATATAAAAATATTATATATAAAGAGTAGGGATACATGACATCACGTAGGAGACGATAATCTTTAACACTCCATAACATAATGATGTGACTGAGAGAATAAATCAACCCATAATTAAGAAACTCAAATATATATTGAAGGTAATTAATCTACATAAGGCACTTTGGGATAAAACTCTATTTCGTGTTGCGTATTGAATCAATATCTATAAGTTATTTTATATTATGACATCTTTAAAAGAGTCTAAAATAGAAAAGAAGTCTCATACTCTTACTTAAAGGTGTGTGCTTGTGAGGTTTGCATACATATACCTAAAGAGTAGAGACAGATGCTTGATGACAATGTCTCTTCATTTTTTTTAGGTTATGAAGATGCATAATTTGGATATAGATTAAAGGATCCAGTGAAAAAAAAAGATGATTAGATTTAAAGATATAGTATTTTAAAAACATGAGATGCTATCTAAGTTAGAGAAAACTAAGAAAATAAACACAAAGATTAAAATTGATTCTTCATCAACAACTGAGCATTTTATAAGAAAAAATTTGAGTGAAGAACATGAAAGTGAAATTGAGCAAATAATAGATGATGATGCAGATGAAGAGGTTGTTGAATAGGAGAAACAACCCCCTCCACTTTTATGCTGCACAACCTCAATTTAGAAAATTTTCTAAAGAACTAGTATCATTCTTAGACAAAATAACTCCTAGTATATTACTCTTATAAAAAAGGAAGTAGAAAGCTTTTAAGAGATTTAACCTCATACGAAAAAAGCTTAATGAATAAAAGTGTCATGCAGGAAGAGATAAATTCCTCGAAGAAGAATAATATCCATAATTAGTAAAACTTCTACAAGGTAAGAAACCCTTGAAGAACGAGTGTTTAAGCTAAAAAGAGATGGTGACAAGATCATCAAATATAAAATTCGTAGTGATTAAAGGATATAAATAGAAGAAATGAATTAAATTTGATGAGATATTTTCTCTAATTATAAAGATGCATTTTCTAGCATACTATTTTTTAATATTTAACAGTTAGATATAAAAATTACATTCCTCCGTAGTAATTTAGAGGAAGCATATGGTTTAGTTATAGAGTCTTGAGGTAAAGGGGATATAACATATAATTTATAGGTTGAGAAAAAGCTTGTATATATTAAAACAGGCTCCCAGGTAGTGGTTTGAGAAATTAATTTTTCTATGATGAGTCATGGATATACCAGATCAATCACATATCATTATTTACTTCATTATTGACATGTTAATAATGAGGTATGATGGTAAGAAAATTGCTAATTTAAAAATTAACTTGTTTAATTTTTTTTTTATATAAAAGATATAGGCAAGTTATAATAAACTTTTATTTTGCAGATTACTCTGAATTGAAAAACAAAGAAATTGTGGTTATCATAAGAAAAGTATACTGGACGTATTTTAGACAGGCTTTATATGAAAAATGTTAAACTAATTTAACACAGCTGGCCAATCACTCTAAAGTGAGCAAGAAAAAGTTGTTCATCTAGTAAAAAATACAAAGAAGAGATGACAATTATTCATTACTCTTCGGAGAGTTTGTTGTATGTAATAGTTTCTACCAAAATTAACATTACATACATAATTAAAGTAGTAAATAGATTTTTTTATAATCCTTAAAAAGAGCACTATGAAGCAATTAAATGAGTTTTTAGATATTCTAGAAAAAGCTCAAACATGTGTTTGTATTATGCATAGTTTAAAACCACTCACAGAAGGATATACAAATACAGACTTGATAGGTAATCTTGACAATAAAAAATCTACTTCATGATACATATTTACTTTTGTAAGATGAGTTATATCATAATAGTTTAGATTACCAAAGTATATTGACTTATTCATAATTGAAACAGAGTATATTATGACAACTGAAGCTAACAAAAAATTGTTCTAACTAAAAATTTTACATGTAATCTTTATGTTAGAAAGTTTACTCTAGTGCACATATATGCTTCAATAATTATCTTTAAACCATAATAAATATGTGTATAACTGTGACAGAGTGCTTTTGATTTAACTAAAAATACTAAATATTATTGTCACACTAAATATATTAATGTAAGATACGATTGACTTCGTGAGATAGTAAAAAATTATGAAATTTTATTGAAGAAAATTTACATTGATAAAAAATTAATTGACGTAGTAACAACAATGGTGACACGAGACAAACATGAGTCGGTGCCAAGACGACAGGATTGAGATTCAAACAATTGCTTTCAGCCCATATTAGAGACAAAAGGGAATATATATATATATATATATATATATATGAGTTAGTTTCCTTTTTGGGATTTGGGTGTATATATTTGCATAAGACTATAAATCCTAAACCAAGTACAAAAAAGATCAAGAAAACATTATGAAAAAAAAACCTTGTGGTTGATGAAATGGCACATCGAAAAAAAACACAACTCATCAAGAAAAGAGAAAGAAAAAAAGCTTGTAGTTGATGAAATGACACATTGAAAAAGAACATAACTCATCAAGAAAAAAGAAAGAAAGCTTATAGATGATGAAATGGTACATCGAAAAAGAACACAACTCATTAAGAAGAAAAAAGAGCATGAAATTCCTTTTGGGTGTGTGAGAATCATAAAAAAAGTTAGAATTCTTTTATTCTTTGATTAGATTTTCTTTATGCATTTTTAGTAATTAAAAGATATTTACTATTAAAAATATTTGTAGAATTATTTCTCTATTACTTAATTACAAATAGAGAAATCCATAAAGTGTTCGTTAAGGAGATAATTCAGATAGTTCTTAGTTATAGAATCCAAGTTTAAAATTGATTTGAAATTTGTTGTATTCATTAATTTTTTTAATGATGGATATGATTCAGAATTTGATTCATAGTTTTTTTTTTTCCTGTAATAAAATATTTTTTTTTTTATGTAAAATCTTGTGTTTTAATTTTTGTTTTATTTATTACATCATTTGTAATTGAATTTAATTAAATTTATAAAATTAATATTATTCAAAGTGCCACATGGAGTTCTTAAACTAAGAATGACTCTACTTAACATACCTATTCTTACTGCTTTTTAAACAAAGTGGCTAATAAACCATCACCAACTATGTTGAACGGAAATCAAGATAATGGATCCCCATGTCCCAGTCATTTTCCAATAAGAAAATTCTCAAACACACATTGTTTTATACGAGACCTTCCTTACCTCTCAACTTCATCACACATGAATCATCATATCAAGAAACTCCTAGTTGAATGTGTTATCAGCCTTCTCAAAATCTGCTTTAGATATAATTTCTCTCTCATCCCTCCTTAGCTTTTGGGTGCAACCTCATGTATAATTAGTAATTCTTGAAGACTGTAAAATTTATCACATTTAATGTTCTTTATCATCATTTGCAAATTATATATAAATTTTTGTTACAATTATGAATTATTAATGAACAAATCAAGAAATATTTAACAACTATTCTAAGTAAGTTGGTACTCTCATCACTAGCTGAAATAAATATTCTCCAATAAGAGATAACCGAAGACAATTCAGTGTATTTTGCATCATAGATCCTCTTAACCGGTTGGAATTTAACTAATGTACCATTTATAATTTTAAAACTGAGAAAAAGAGAATTAAGAAAGATTAATTGATCTTTAATAGATTGCCTCTAGTAATGTAATTCTGTACCCACTCTTAGTTTAGATGAGTGTGCTAGATACCATATATGCACATATCTTAAAGTAAGGAGAGCATCTATGGCACTATCTCATATATGCTTTGCCTTTTCTCCTCCCGTCTCCTTCGGCTTTCTGCAAATTTTGTTTTGACACTACACAAGAATATATATCACATTAAACATATATACATGTATATATATATATATATATATATGAAATTAATACTAATCACATGACTTTGTTGTCAAGAATAAAATTAGCCAGTGAAGAAGAACCCTCCCATGCCCTTTATGACTTTTTGAAACTATTAGCTCCACAGGATTTAGCTCTTTTGAATGTCTTTTGCAACTTTAACTGCTTGGTGAAGCTATATGTACATATATATATATATATCTACATATTGCTTTGGAAAATAAAACATATCTCAGGAGAAAAGAAGAATTAAAAAAGCGAAATACTTATATTCTTCTTGTATGATTTCTCTCTGATTAATTCATGTTCATCATCATGAAAGAATATTGGTGATCTCATTCATATTCAATATGCATGAGGCAAAATAATAGTTTTGAGAGGGATATTCTTCAACTGAAAATTTAAGGTCTGGACATGGTGGCAATAGTTCTTTCGGTACATTAATGCTTTCTATTGGCGAAAAAGTTGCCCACATACATGCACAAGTGTGGATAATACCAGTGTTTTTTTAAAGTTCTTTTACTGTAAAATAATTGGCTCATGCCAGTAAATTTTTTTTTATTGTGAACAACGAGTTAAAATTTAATTTTCTTATTGCATCCTTTTAACAGATGTAAATAAAGAAGCATGCAAAATTTAAAATTTAGATTTCAAAATTCTGATAGTATATAAAATAATTGATAACTGTTAAAAATTTAATCTAGTATGAAAATCTAATCAATCGTTTATATATTTTAGATATCCCATTTGATTATTTAGTTATCAAATTTTTCCTCCTTGAGTTTCTCCTAATTTATTTTTATTCTCTATCAAACTTACTGAATAATTATTTGCTTTGAAAAACATGATTTTTATATACATCTTGAACTTTATATAGAATTTGTAATCAGAACTCTTCCTATCCCATAAAATGGTTATACAAATTTTGAACTAATTGAACTTATATGAGTTTTTAATCAGAACTTTTTGGATCCCATAATAACCACCATATAGAGTATAATTTTTAAGATAAATACAAGTATATTTAAACAATGTTTAAAATTAAACTTGTATAGAGCTTTGTGCTTCTTCCATGGAACTTGAACGTAAAAGTTTTCTTATAAAATTCCTTGAAATGATCAACCAAGAATCAACCATGCCTCCAAACTTCTCTTGCAGTTTCTTTTTATAGTCAATCATCATTACTAATTCATTCAACTTAAGAAAGATTTACTCTTTTATAATGGTATCAGTAAATTATTAATTCACTAACCAGGCACTCCATAATTCTTTATGCTTATTTTTCAATGAAAAGAGTATTATT